CGCGGCCGCCGCCCGGCCAACCTGACCAGGGTGAGGGTCGGCCGGGCGGCGACCTAGCGTCACTAGAACTGCAATAACTTTTGCCGGCAGTGTGATGCCGACCTAATTTTTTCGGCAAATGAATCACAATTGTACGATATATGTTATGAACGTTGTCTCAATGTGAAGCACGCTGTGCGTTTTTTTTTGTAGGCCTATGTAAATATTGAAATCCATAAGCCCTTCTGCTTTGTGCAAGTGTGCAACAATTAGCTTACAATAACTGAGTGGGAAGCTTTTTAGATGCATTTTTGTTATCAATGGATTCCGCACATTTTCCCCTTTCAGCTGATATCTTACTTCCGCATTTTCAAGTAAAGAATATGACAAGAGACTCATAAACATTTACATGAAAATCGCAGCACAAGTTCGGTCTCACGGAGCAAAACAAAACGGTATACTTTGGGAGCCCACCAATCTGTGCCAGAATGAGTAATATTTTTTCTGGATGATATTTTATACAGTCTGATCAATTTACGACCAGAAAATGTGAGAAAAGCACGCTTTAAAATTTGTCGAAAATTAGGGTATTGGCCACTTCTGAACCCGAATAGCGGCTGTGTGCTGCGGTCCGGGCGCCGGGTCAAAGGCCGCTACGCCACGGTCACGGTCAGCTGACGTCGCGGCGGGTGAATCACCCGGGCCGCCTCACGGCGCAGATGACGGTTACGTAATGACCACTGAACTCTATAATGTGGAATGCGCATCGGCCGCCAGATGGTGTCCAACGGTGCCGCCATGTTGCGCAGACCAGGAAGCGGCCGCCGCCTGTGTTGGGGAATAGGGAATTCGGGACCTCGATTTACGTTTGCGGTCGCTGCATGCGTTACGTTCAAGCTATGTGGACACGGAACCCGGCATCTTACGCAGAATTGAGTGGAGAACAAGATTAAATCCTAAAAAATCCTCAGATACAAGGAACTAATACGTTAAACCCATATAAGTCAATGGGGAAATATGAAAATTGCTATATTTGCGCCGAGAATGATCTGAAACTATCTCAAGCATATAGAATCATGATTTCATGCACTCCTTGCAAGGTTCTATGCTTCATATTTGCATTGTTGCCCTTGCGTGACGTCATTTGTGACGTCACAAGTGTCACCAATTTTTCTTCAATAACTCCCGATCAAATTGAGCTAGCGAGTCGCGAAAGCCACCAATGGACTCAGGAAGACCTGCCGAATCGAATGATATGCGACATGACCTCTTTCGACCAACTTCGTGACCTGGGGGTGCTGACCTGACCTTGACCTGAGGTCAACACCCTAAGTTGACCTGACCCGAACAAAAAGTATATCACTCGATGCGCCTGAGCTAGCTGAACATGATGGTGCCAAAATCGCGGCTCTACGGCCATTTTTGGCGAAGTTATTAACCAAAAACCGAACCCGTGCCTTAGGTCACTTGACCTGACCTCATAGGTCACTGGTTGACCTGAGACCTTTACAGCGGGTTCCTACCAGTCATTCTGCATTATACTTTGCCGCATACGACCACTTAACCGCTTAATTATAGTTAAATTAGCGGCGCATTAGCGAGGTGGGTTCAATCAACCCCTTCGGCCGGGGCAAATGTAGGTCCGGCGAGTGAATTTGAGGAATTCTGAAGATACGATCGTGTTCCCCATTCAATTCTGCGTAAGATGCCGGGTTCCGTATCTACGTAACTTGAACGTAACGGATGCGGCGGCCGCAAACGTAAATCGAGGTCCCGAATTCCCTATTCCTCAACACAGGCGGCAGCCGGTTCCTGGTCTGCGCAATATGGCCGCCACCGTTAGACACTACGGCCAATAGGGTTGAAGCGGCATTGCTCCCCTGTGGTAATGACACGCCCGCGCCTGCGCCGCTGGCTACCAGCAGTTGCTGTCGCTGCCGCCGCGGCGCCACCAGCGCTGGAGGTGTCCACGCCTACCGCTGACGTCACGATCACGCGATCGCTGGGCAGAGGTCACACGATTGCTGTTCGGACCCATAGTTCGGACCCGCCAAGATGGCATCAGGGTGGCTTGGCCTTGGGTGCACAGAGACATTACGTCATGCGCGTGGACAGGTCGATGAATACAACAAGATGCGAGGCTAGCAGTCTGGTGGCAGCATAAGACGTAAGTGTAACTCCCTGAAATGCGGCACGAGCATAACTGCGTATACGGTCGGTGATACTGTCGGCCGTTGGAGAGCTCTGGTCTGAACAATAATGGCCGACGCGCAACCCTGTCCTACGGCCAGTCGGTCGTGGTGGCCAATAGGGCGACAGCGGAGATGCAGGATACGACCCACCTTATTTGGGACGCCGGTGAAAACAGGGCGCCGGAGGGCATATTAGTCACGTGACATTTGGAACTTCTCCCGCTCCAAGGGCCTTCTATATGCCAAACGTCACGTGTAAATTTCACGAACCTTGATCAAATCGCCCCAGGCGCCCTGTTTTCACCGTCGTCCCTTATTTGCGCCTAGTGGCAATCTGCAATCGTCGGCAGGCAGCACAAAGATGTTCCCTCTGTGATGGTTTGTCGGCAAAGGGAAGGGTGCAATTCGTGGGGCGCCGCCGCCTGTAGTGTAGTCACTTCCACGTCATTGCAATGTCTGGCCCAAGGCTATAGAACTCCAGGTAAGGACACCAGCCGTTTGACCTTGAACGCCGCCGGCCGGCCGATGACGTCATTGGAGGCAAGCCGGCTCGGCGGACGCATCGAGCGAGCGTATAACGGAGGAGCGTTGGGACGTTGCGGGAGAGCCGGGGAGAGATTATGGCGGCGTTCGATGTCTCCCGGACGGCAAAGATTCTTTTCCTTCCGGCCAATCCCGTCCAATGTCAGCGGGGGCTCGGCAGCGGTTATGAAACGTGATTGGCCGGACGGCGTAGAATCTTCGCCGTCTGAGAGACATCGAACGCGGGGTTTAAAGCGTTTGCATACCACCATTTATGTTGATTCAATTGATCTAGACTGCATTCTTATAAAGCTCGACGCATCTCAGGCCTGGATGGTGCGTACATTCGTAGAACGGTCCGACGTCCGTAGTCGAAGCTGTCTACTCTATATGTACCAAAAGACGCCAAGACCGGTGCAATAACGGCGACCCGATCCCGTCTCTGGCGATTCTAGGACTCGTTAGGACCCAGGCCGAGTCTGACCCGTCTATTTTTAGGGAAACGGGGTGGGTGAATTGACAACCGAATACCGATGGTTAGAATTGATCCCGTCGTCGAGCGATGGTTGATTGACAGACAACACATGTTGTAGTGGGCGGATAAGCATCAGGGATAATGCCTGAACATAGGCAAGCATAATTGGTCTGCCATATTGTTTAGGAATATAAAATCGTAACGGAGGTCCTTGAGGATATTATCTCTATATAACGAGGATTCACCACCAGTGAAATTACTACTGTTAAACCCTCGGTACCGGGCAACTCCGGGGAGCTGCAGCATCCGGCGGCCACCTCGTCGACTCGCAGGTCCTGTGGGCTTCCGTGATGCTTCAGCTTGCTTCACCCAGAGGCACGGGTAGAGCAGTAGGATGTGGGGTGAGGTGTCTGTACGCCTCTTCATTGTAGGTACGACGCATACAGCGCCCAGTCCCGCCGAAGCTCGATAATCGACCGTGACATATTCTTAACTGGCGGATCCAGGAAGCGGTCTTGAACACATCGGGGGGAATATACCCTAAAAAAGGTTTCTGTGAATTAAAAAAAAAAAAAACATCGGATTTCGATTCGTTGCGGATTACTGTGCAGTTCGATCAATAAACTTTTCCTCATAAAAGTTGTGAAGTTTTCGTTTTATTCTCGAAAAACGATTTCGGACGCTGCCCCGGATGTGGGCCTGTGGGGGATAACATTTGTCCCAAATGCCTTCCCTTGCAATCGCCAACGGGTTGCCCCACCCTGAGCTTAACTAAAAACGTCTTAAAATCCCACCAGAGAGCCGAATCCGATAACTCATCTCTGTCTGCCCGTCTAAATTACTACGCACCGTACGGCGCCCGGCCCCGTCGGAGCACTGAACCGACCGTGATATTTTTAGTTTTCCCCCATCCCAAGCTCCATTAGAAACGTTCTCTCTCCCCATCCAATTGCTCATGATGTCATTTCAAATTCAATACCTACCTCATCTCTGTCTGCCCGCCCATTCATTGCACACCTTACGGCGCCCGGCCCCGCCAGAAGGATCCTAGCGCGCTAAGTGGTTGCATCCAGCCGCGTCATCGCGAGGCCCCGCGGGGCCCGCAAATGAATACATTGCGTGAATAGCCGTGTCGCCCCCCTGGTCTGGCCGACCGCTAGGTGTCACTGGGTGTTTCATATGAGTCATGGCACGGTGACTATAAATAGTCATGGGTTCACACGATGCCGCCGCCGAGTACGTACGGGCATTTGCGGCGCCGATGTGTGTATGGCTGTGGGCCTCGCCGTTCTAATGAATCTTACAGTCTCATCCGATCCAGTAAGGTGCCAACACATACGGTAGACACAAAGCGGGCTGAGAGCTGGCGCCACAGTCGTCGCGTAAACAATTGGGACTCCGGACTTGACACACACACCAGATTCCCCGTGGTATCTTGATAGGAAAAAATGAAAATTCTATTGCCGCTCCCAGAGGAAGGTCACACCTTTTCCTGCACCCCAAAAAGTCTAAAAGCGATGTGAAAAACACGTCTAAGCCTCTAAAAAAGACAAGTGAACCCGTAGCGCGCCCACCTTCCACCATCGAAGCCGCGTGAGAGGCAGCTTCTTTAGGACTCGAGATGACGCTGATGAGGCGTTGCTAAGCAACCGAAACAGCTGCTGCGTACTCTTGTCGCCTGCGTCCTCTTACCCGCCCTTACCCTACCCACAAAGCTGCTTTGAAATTTCTACGAAAATGTCCAGATATGTTTCTGCTGAAGTCTTTATAATTATGTTTAAATAACGCAACTTATATTCAACGGTTGTTTCCCACTTCCCGGCTATTTTCAGTAATATCGATGACGGAACGGCAGGCATGTTGATCGTCGCCCTGATGTTCATGATACCGGCCAGGCCCAGATTCTGGTGTCTCAAAGGTAGGTGAAACACAGTAGCTGTTATTTATATCTAGACATAAGCTGCTATATTTCAGCTTTGTTTACGTAAATTAATTACTTTTTATCTTTATGTCAGGTAAAGTAAATTTTATTGAATCTTTGGAAAAATATATGAAAAATATGGAAAGTTATAAAAAGACGCACGGACCATTCTGTCAGCCGGCCGTCCCTTCAATATTGATCTGCTATCGACATCTAAGCTGCTACCGGACAGTAATACGCCGGCTGCGTTTGCGTGTCGGTCTATATAACGGTACCGACATGTCATGCGTACATACCTATTCTTTTCTTTCACAGAGGAATGTCATAAGGCTGAGCCCAGCGAGGCTTTGCTGACTTGGCACGACGTTCAGACTCGGCTCTCCTGGGGCATTGTTCTGCTGCTTGGTATGTTCATGAGCGGAATCGAGAGCTACGCGTTTGTGCCTTGGGTGGTATTTTGCTAGCTACGTATACCTATTATCATGCACAAGTTTACTTCATTCAAAGAAAACATAAGCTGATCACGTATAACATTTCAATGCATCACATGTGACATCATGACCTGATGGCCAATAATCCTCACAATTCACATACGTAGTCTACCACTGCATAAATGCCTGCTGCTGGCATTGCCACTCGCCCCACACACACCTCTCTCGCCTCTGTCGCCGCAGGCGGCGGGTTCGCGGTGGCCGAGGCGACCACCGAGTCCGGACTGTGCGCCTGGCTGGGAGACCAGCTGACGGCACTGGACGTGCTGCCCAACCCGGTCATCATTCTGCTGATCGCCATCTTCATCACCATGCTGACCGAGGTCTGCAGCAACGGCGCCATCGCTTCCGTCATGCTGCCCGTCATGGCGCAGCTGGTAAGTGGACCAGTTACCCTCGCTCTTCATCTTGAAGGGAAACTGTAAATGAGAGAGACAGGTAGGCGGAGACGTTTTGAAGAGAGGAGTCAACAGACGTTTTCTCTGACCCACAGGCTGTGTCCCTTCGCGTGAATCCGCTGTACCTGATGCTTCCGACGACCCTAAGCTGCTCGTTCGCCTTCATGCTGCCCGTGGCCACGCCGCCAAACGCCATCGTCTTCGGCGCCGGCAACCTGAAGTCGAAGGACATGGTAAGACGACCCAAGTAATAAACGGTAGGCGCAGTTAAAGTTAAAGTGACCATCCCACCTTAACATTAGTTTTGAGTTGAGATAGCCAAATTGGTGGCCATGGCCTGAAAATACCGGTTTGGGCACTCATAACATCGAAAAATGTTTTAATTCGGAGATATGGAATTTCAAACTTGCAGTTTTCGGATTCAAAGGGGCTAACGCATTGGTATGCCCCCTTAGAATTTGTGACGTCAACAGAGATCTAACGTTTTTAAAATCTTTTACTAAAACGTATGGTAGCACGCAGTGGTATATGCTGCTTTGCGCGCAACAAATGCCGCACTTTCAAATAAAGTCGGTAGGAACAGCGGAGATCCCAAAAAGTAAACAAAAGTAAAAGTCTAATATCTTGAAAACCGGTGAATATTTTTCGATGAAATTTGGTAGATATTCGTTTTTGCTCTTTCTGAACCGAGCGACATCACTTTCATGCCAATTCATTAACTTTTTTGAAGGTGGGAGGGTCCCTTTAAGTGCATATGTAAGCTTTTCATGCTTCGCGGTTTACGTTCCTGACCGAATGTGACCCCAAGTTATTCAAGGGCGTCTTAGTCATCTTGGCTCTCATTCATGTTCGTCCGTTCATTTTATATTGTACGTTGCTGCAATAACAAAAACACATCCCATCACTCTCCCCTCAGCCCTCTCCAGCTCTCCCCCCGACTCCCTACTCTGAGTCGTTGCCAAGCAACCGTTGGCATGACAACCAATCTGGGCACTCAGATTGGCTAAAGTTTCCCGCCATACCGGGATCACGGATTGTGAAGGATGCTCAGTTGCAATTGCATGCAACTGGCCTCGGGGCACCTCTCCCGAGGTGGATCCACAATCCACCTACACATATACCTATTACCTAGCTAGCCGCCCATGTGATACGTTCGTTTTTATTCTCACCGTAGACTAGTTTTATACTGAGATTAGTTTTGGGTTGTAGCGATTCAGCGAATAACCATTCTAATCTTGGACCAAATGGCACAAACCATCGCAAATTAGAGAGTGAGTGTGACTGCAATGGCTCTATTTATATAAAAATATACACGTTTCAAACAAGTAAGTGGTCTCCGCTTCTTACACTCTCAATACTTTGTGTTGCCGTATAGGTACACATTGCCAGAGACTTGGAAAGGCTTAGGACGCAGCAGGATAGCTAACACAAGCGACTTTGCCTTATTCCACAGTTGCGAGCCGGCATAGTGATGAACCTCCTCTGCGTGAGTGTGACGATGCTGGTCATCCCCACACTCGGCAACGCGGTGTTCGACCTTGACACCTTCCCGGACTGGGCCAACACCACAATCCCCATCTGAGCAGGACGCCAAGGCGACACGAGCGCTAATACGTTAATGAAATCGCCAGTCAACGCCTGAGAACTAACAACAAACTGGTTGCCATAGTGAATAGCCGGCAACGTCAGCAAGTCACACACCAGACCTAGAGTATTGATCAGACATGAGTCCAGCAGCTCCAGTTACGTAAGGAATTACGTAACATTTTATCTTAGATGCCTATATCGTTTTTATCCCGTGATGCCATCATTATATCTGATTTGCTGAGATTTACTCTGCCAATGAGGCGAGAGTCGCATTTGTGGGGTTTTGTTTTAACATGGAGAGTGGAGACACAAATCATTCACGAATCATTGTTTTCAGCTACTGCACTATACTATTGTAAGTACAACTGCACTATATATTTTACATATTTTACGATCTACAACTGTACTATCGCAAGCCGATGTTTGCTCCAAGGTCGGGTCATTCTTCTTCTTTGTCTATTGAAAATTGTTAATTTATTGATAATTGATTATTGTCACCGAACTTTTACGGTTGTATTCCCCTTACTATCTGCAGGCTAACAGCCGTTCACCGTTGATCTAAAGCAAAATGTTTGCCATTTTTCTCATACCAATCCACCAAGTGTTCCCGGGCGATCCAGATTGCCATGCAACTGACATGGCAAACACTAGAATACAGTACGAAAGTGTCACGCAAGACGAATAAGTCAGAGTTGGCAATGGCGCAAGCATCACGGAAATATGATGAGCGATTGGAAATGAGCGCCCATGTCTTTCGAATGGCTGTTTGTGATGTTTGCCTGTTTGTTGTGGGTCGATTATGTATGTGACCATTGTTATATGATGTAAATATATTCTATCTTAATTGGCGGGTATCTGAGATAAAACCATGCTACGTAACTTAAAGAAAAGTCGCAAAATATTGGGAAATAATTGGAGTGAGGTATATCAAGTGCTCATACTCGTAGATGAGACTGATGATGAAGGAGGAAAATGTATGCATTAAACTGGTACTGGCAGAGTGTTAAGTGCAACGGGTGTGAGATTGTTGCATAATGCAAATCTAGAATAGGACAACGATTACAAACAAATCACCGTCTTTTCGGAAACAATCGATCTGAGCGATTCGGTCATCAGTTTAAAGCATTGCCTTTCCGGTTAGATTTAAGCAGAGTGATCGTCTCTGACCGTTCTCAGCTCTCGGGAAAGCCAACTAGCCATGCAACGCTCCCTCCCGAGCACGGACCTCTCTTTGCGACTGCCTCGCCACCTACAGTACACAGCACCAGCCCCACCGACCGATACCGGGCGGCAGGGGGCGCCTGCAGGCTGCGGTTCGGCAATGTCTGAGACAGGTCCTTGGACATAGCTCCTAAGGAGCACGTGCGACATGATGCATTTAGCCATGTCCTCTGGCAGCTGTTTCATCCTCATCCCCCTAAACTTTTCTAATACTGCCAAAGTAAATGACTTTTTCTGGATCAACGAAAGGTTTCGTTGTTTATAGATTCGCGTGCAGGCTATAAAGGCTGAAACAGACTCTTTCCGCGTTCAGGAAATCGCATGCGAGAGCCTATTCAAATACATTATAATTCTTCTCGCATCAATCGCTCGTGGGAGGTGCATGCGATTGATGCGAGCGTGCTTCCATGTATTTGAATAGGCTCTCGCATGCGATTTCCTGACTGCGGGAAGAGTCTGTTTCAGGCTTAAAGTTCTATATCATACCGAACGAGGCCGGTAGGAATTAATTTTCAAGACCTAGTTTGGTATATATTTTAGTGTGCAATCTGGTGTAACATTTCTGACCGTGGTAAATTTGCTTACACTAGACCAGTTTACACCGCACCTCTCCGGCTAATATATTTAAATAGGGCAGGTATACAGTCATAGCAAATATCCCGGGTGTATTGATTAGGCATCAAAGGAAATAAGAAGTTATATTGACATATTATATGGCATACAAATATCCATTTTATGTTTATCGAGCTAAGCGCCCTCAGCACACCATGAAAGACGCACCCATAATCCCGCTATATTGTTGATGCTGCTGCTATATATTGCTGATGAAACTGTCTATGTATTAGGCCGAACCCATCCAATTGAACCACTCTCCGAGCCGCCCTGATGAGCTCAGTATTAGTAAACGACACAGGCGGAGAGTCGTGTAACTGGACCATTGTGTACAGCTGCAGCTAGCGGCACTGAGCTGGGCAGCGGGAACATTGCGGTCGTCCCCTCCTCTGGGACACTTTACATAACGGATGTACCGGTTGAAAGTAAACGTGTTTTGGGGTGCTGCCACTAATCAGCATTCGAGATCCGCTAGGGATGGGCTACCTTCCCCATGAACGTTTACATAAATGGACAGTTAATGTATACTATGTATACCGGGGCTCTGCAAGATGAGTGTTGTGATGAAATGCACAGGGAAGAAGACAGAAGATTGGTTCCCCTTAACTGTTCTCATATCTTCCCACGCTGTTTGGACTCATGTGCTGTAGATTTGTCATTACAAAACCAGTATTCCCCCAAGATGCCGCGGTTCCGGCACCGAATTATCTCAATGGAAACCGTAATGCTGTTATAAAATCATGCGTGTGCATCTAGAAGGTGGGCCTCTGCGTTGTTACCTGCAATCACGAGATGATGCCATCCTGTTCCACTCATTTCCTTATATCACCCGTGACTCGGAATGACCATATCAAAATCAAAACTGAAAACTTAAATCGTATATCATGCATGACATACAAATCACGCAATAACTAGGAATGTGTCCTAGTTAATTATAGTGAATTCCAGATTCGCTTGTATCTATTTTATTGAATATGTAAAATGTGCAACAAAAGTACACTATCGTGCATACTTCCTGGGTCCTGTCCGTCTTTCAAACAAAAGAAGCCATTCAAGGCGGCACAGTGGTCTAAAAGGAGGATTTAATCCAAACTTGAACACTAGAAACCACAGCATAGGCGGCAGGTTGTCAAGTGAAAGTTTATGGACATGCATGACAGTTTGTAAGCAAGGCCATAAGGAACGATAGCCATATTCAGTCATGGCGAACAATTCTGGCTGCCAGCAGTACGGACAACTCAGTGACCGCAGCCTCGTCTAGAAACGCCCCATTTCGGCAGTTCCAGAGCAGCGATAGGATCTCTTGTCAGCCACGGCTCTAGCGATCTTCTGGATAACAGGGGCGAACTCGGGCCTCTCGGTGAAGGAGATATTTAACAGGAATATTTTAACCGATTGTTGTGCGGCTACACGCGGGAATACCTGGAGAGGGTTGCGTCGAAACAAAAGTGTCATGTGTATCTTTTTTTTGCACATGTTTCTGTGTGTTAGCGCTGAATGTCGCCGAAAAAGAAAAAAAAAAACATGTGAAGGCTGAACCACTCTCCGAACGCCCTTGCTCAGAATACTGCACAACTCAGCACGATTGTGTGATTCAGACAGAAAGAAATCGATGCATCGCATGTCTTGCCACCTTTGTTTATCATGTCTCCCAGTTGTTTTTCAGCGATGTTTCTGCATATTTACCCCAAATGCCTTCACATATTGCCATATATGAAGTACCTAAGGACAGATGCTTGTGAATTTCGATGGCTCCATCAGGATCCTGGTGGTGTGGGCAAATCCGTGGGCAAGTGAAGCTGAAGTGCCGTTCAAAACTACTCGAAAATGGAGTGTGGTCTTCGTGATAATCGTCAAAAGATATATGATTATATCTCATAATTGCTGTGGCTGAATTCATGTGGTGTTATTTGAAACATGTTATGATTTATTTCTGAAGTATAGAGTCGATAAATTTTCACGGACGCATTTAACGTGGCGCTCGGAGTGCGCGCGCATCTGATTTACGTGTATGCTGTACCACTTGAAAGGAAGGCTCGAGGGGTCATTGACACCTAATTCATGGTTTTGATATTAGCGAGACAAAAAGTAAAGGCCTGGCTACACTATGCGTTTTCTTCGTGCGTTTTTTGCGTGTTTGCGTGTTTTGCGTGATATCGTTCTAGAAAAAAGAACGATATTACGTTTTTGTGATGTTTTTTCACCTTAAATTTTAGTTACATAAGAGTTATATTAGCTTTTGTATATAACCAAAGTAAAAATTATATTGTTTATAACTTTTTTCCTAGAACGATATTACGCAAAACACGCAAACCTGCAAAAACGCACGCAGAAAACGCATAGTGTAGCCAGGCCTTAAGTGAAACTACGTGCGCGAGACCGACGTTTTTCGCACCAGTGCAGTGGTGCAGGCATATACACAGAAAATGCTTTCAATAGTTATCTGCATCGCTCTGCAAATATTTTAATAAGCAGTCCGTGACCGTGTCGCCAATGCTTTCGAAAGCAGCACCGGTACATCCATATATGTTCTGCTTTAGACCGTTTTTACTCTGCAAACATTTTCAAATGCCAGTGCTATCCTACTGGGCTCATAAAAATAGATCGCAAAATAGCTTGTGATAGATCGATCCTACATATTTATTTTGAGAGGAATGGACTGTCACGAGTATATAAATATGTTTATGCATATCACGGGAAGGTATATCGTAGTAGTGCTTCACTTGTTAATAAGGATGCCATAAATGGATAGCAGAACGACACTGGTAGTAACACGCCATTATCGTACCACTACGTATGCGATCAAGAAGCGAGCTGTTGACGGAAAATGTAATTTTGGGAAGAAAATATGCCCTAAGATTGCCCCTTACAGATCACAGTCAGCCCCAGCTTAGGTTATCTGATATTTTGTTGTGATTTTCACACACCCACAGCTAATCAGGATAAGACGTCTGCGGCGGTAGCATGGAAAAATGATTTTTGCCAATCTTTATCATTACAAGCCCTTTCAAGGGGTTAGCGTGACATAAACCCAATGCTAATGCATCAAAAGCATCTACATAGCTTGCGGTGAAAAGCTTGCTGAACCCATTTTGCAGCAGCCGCTAATGATACCGCTGTGCACTCGCGGGTGAACATAGCTGCGTACGATTCCCTCACCCTTTGCGAATTGTCAGATCATATGCTTGCTATAACGGCCCCTTAAAAGAGAAAGGATAGATAGTAAATGTGTTTGGACTCATATTGTTTACTTTTTGTCTTGCAACTCAACACGTTCAAGCCAGCCATGGACAAGGGCGCACACAAGGGGGGGGGCACACGGGCCCGTGCCCCCCATTCGAGTTGGGGGGCCCAGCTCGAAGGAAGAGGGGCCCATTTGAGGCGGCCGAAGGCCGCCTCAAATGGGCCTCTAACTAATCCTTAGACCACCGAAGACCGTGTACAAAGGACCCTCAAATGGCCTTAGAGGGCCCTCAGATAGTCTCAAAAGGCCCTCAGATGGCCTCGAAGGGCCCTCAGATGACCTCAAAGGGCCCTCAGTTAGCGTCATAGGGCCCTCATCTGGTGTCAAAAGGCCCTTAAATGGTGTCAAAGGGCCCTCAGATAGCCTCGAAGGGCCCCAGATGGCCTTAAGGGGCCCTCAGATGACTTCAAAGGGCTCTCAGATGGCCTTAAAGGGCCCTCAGATGGCCTCAAAGGGCCCTCAGCTAACGTCAAACGCCAGATGGTGCCAGATGGCCCTCAGCTGGCGCCAAATGGCCATCAGAAGGCCTCAAACGGTCCTCAGCTGGAGTCCAGCGGTCCTCAGTTGGCGTCAAGCGGCCCTCAAAAAGCCTCAAGGGGCCCTCAGAAGGCCTTAAAGAGCATCAAAGGGTCTTGAGCTAGCGTCAGAGGGCCCCCAGCTGATGTCAGAGGGCCCTGAGCTAGCGTCAAACTTAAAGGGCCCTTAGCTGGTGTCAGAGGGCCCCAGTTGGTGTCAGGTGGTCATCCATTGGCGTCTAATGGCCATCAGAAGGCCCAAAAACGGTCCTCAGCTGGCGTCCAACGGTCCTCAGCTGACGTCAAGAGGCCCTCAAAAGGCCTCAAAGACCCCTCGACTGCTCAAAGGGCCCTTAGAAGGCCTCAATGGGAACTCAAGAGACGTTAAACGGCCCTCAAAAGGCTTGAAAGGACCCTCTGCTGATGGCAAAGGGCTCGCACCTGAGTCAGTAAGAGCCTTGTCAAAAAAC